TGAGGGTTACTTTCTTTTAGTAAGGTACTTCTGTGATTACTATCTTGAGGATTTTACATTAAAAAAAAAAGAAAAATGTATTAAGTTGCTTTTCAGTACACATTTTGGCACAAGAAATTGATCCTAGTGAAAATGAAAGGATAATTGTTTATGTGGTAAGAGGAGCTCTCTCATCTCAAGAGGTATACCATGTTTAAAGATACCCATGGTTTATTGATTAAAGAATTATTCAAATAAACCAGTGCATTCAGGTAAGTAATGATCTCTCATCTCATGTCTGCTGCAACTTTTAAGAAAAAACTGTTTATTATGATGACTTCACTAAAATAGGTGCGAGAGGAATTGCCTGTTCTGTTTACTTGACAGTGAACAGATGTTTTTAAAAAGGGAGGAAAAAAATCCACCCCCAAACCACCAAAACGAAGATCGGGTATTCAAGTGGGAGTTTTAAAAAAAGACATACAGAAAGAAAAGGTCATAAATTCTTTGTACTGTCTTTGACTGTGTACTTTTTTGTATATTTGAACTCTCCCTCCCAGGATTTATTTCATATTGCAGATTTCTGTGCATGAGGGGTTTCTTAAAGAGCTTGCAGGTACAACCTTAAAGGTGTCCTTCAAGTCAGTAGAGTCTTAAGCTTCTGTAAAGAGATGAGGCCTTTTTTTTCTTTTTTTTTTTTTTTTTTTTTTGTAATCTTTGTTAGCAAAGTATGGTCTACGTTGTAGCCTATCAGGTTGTTTCTCAATATCCATTCAGAGGTCATCTGTGACAGCATATACTATTACAAGCAAATCACATGGATCATGAATATGCCTTCATGATAGCATACAGAGATTTTCCGGTTAAAGAAAAAGTGATACAGCTGCTTTGCCAGAGTCCTTTTCATAGAAGTGGTGATCATCTGTTTTAACAGCTTTGCTGATGTAGCCATAAGGTCTCATGCCCTGAAACATCCCATTTTTTACCTGCTGTTTCTCAGCTAACCAAATCCTTCATTTGGTTATAGCAAAGCTGGGCTTAGAGCACTGTTGTTGGCAAAGAGCTCAGTCTTAACAAGAAGCTGTAGCAGCTTAAGATACTGTTTTGTCCAGCTGTTTGGCTGCTCTAATCCCACAGCACAACTGGTAGAAGAAATACACTAATGCTCCACAGCCATATCTCTGCAAAATCCAGGGGCTTAGTTTACAACCATTGCAGTCATTGATAAACACATGTCGAAGTCTCATAGATTGTTTGCCTGGGTAAGCTCAGCACAAGTCCTCTGTTTAAGGGGAATGCCCTCTCAAATCTGCTGGCGAAGTTGTTTGTCAAAATGAAATGGATATTTTAAATAGTAAGGCTGTGCCAACCTGGCTTGTTTGATTGGAGTGGATTAGGTTGGGCTGTTTGCACAAGCACTGCTTTGCTGGCAGGCAAAAAGGATGTGTGACAGATGACTGAGGAAGCGTGCTACCACCTGGGGCACAGTGGGCACTGCTTCCACAGGTACAGCACCAGTAATGTAATCATGTCAGCATGGAGGGTTGTCGCTATTTTAGGGAGGCTCTGTTGGCACTGGTATAGCAGGAGCTAGGGGTCTAAAGTAAAATCATCTTGTGAATTGTCGTGGCAGTGCACAGTATGGGGAAGGTGGTGAAGGAAACATTTGAAGATATTGTAGATACTGTGTCAGTGGGTTTAGAGTACATAGAGTACATAACATCCTTGATAAAAACTAGTTAGTTCTGAAACTTACACTTTTATGTGGGTGCAAATGCATGCTATGAGTAATATCTGAGCAGAATGACTTTGATTTCACTGGAAAACCTTTCCATCTGGTGAAACAAGAAACACTTCCAAAACACATCAATAAAAAGTTACTAGAGCTTGCTTCTCTGATGCATCGTTTTGTGCTTGCAGAATCAAAGTGCAATTTCATTTAGTTGGCCTGAGCAATAGTAAGGGAATCATTGTGGGGTGAGCTTCAGAGCACATATCCAGGGTCCCTGAAAAGTTTACACTTTGTCTGCTAGTACTAATTTAACCTTGTGCTTTTGTTTCTCATTGCTGTTCTAACCTATCTCATAAACTGAGAAAGCAAGTCCTCACTGCAGCTGGCTGCTGTTAGCTGTCTATAAGGTGACCCATGGATATTTACTAACATGTAATTCTTACAGAAGTTAGGCCTCTTGTATATCTACCCTGTGAGTAGGTGACTGTCGTTTTCCCTTCACAGAATCAAAGGATGTTGCACAAAGTCACACGTAGCAGCACTAGAAACAGAACTCAGGACTCCTTTTTAAAAAGAAAAGGATAGACCAAAGACTTTGTTGTCTTTTGAACTGAATAAGTGAAATGCACTGTAGCAATGCTATTTACCTATCTGTTCAAAGCACTTGTGGTACAGATGACTTGGTCTGACCCATTGCACAATAGGGGTGGTTTTGTGTGTGTGTGTGTGTCCGTGTATGTGTGTGTGAATGAGGTGGGACTGCCAGTACAGGAGAAGGTACTGTAACTGTGGATAGCAGTGGATAGAAAGCACAACTGAATTTTGCAATGGGTCTCTTGATACGGGATTAAGTCATTTACCTCTAGTATTCCTCAAAGAAAGCCACTCTTGAAAGTCCAGTATGCCACTCTGCAGGTATCAGAATCAGGAGGTTTTAATGGTTAAACCAGCAGTAGTGGTGGTTTAAAAGATCTCAGTTCAAATTCTGGCAGTACCATGAGTTCCCAATGAATTGGGATCACTCATCCTACCAATCAGGAATCCAGTATATTTTGGCTTCTGTGAGTCTGACCGGTTGGTACTGTGAACATGTCATCTTCCAACTCAGCTAGGTTGGCTAAATACAGTGCTACCCTTCAGGCTACTTGCAGGTATTTGTCATGCATCCTGCCAGCAGACTTCTGCTGTTTCAGATCTGCCACTTAAGCTGCTCATGTCATTACTTCTTAGCCTGTTGAAGGGGAAAAAAAGTGCATTTATTGCCAAAAATCTGCTACTGTATATAGTAGCCAGTTAAGCTCACTGACTGAAATTAAGTTAAGGAGGGAAGAGTAACCACTTATTCTGGTACAGCTATAGCCGGAAGAGGATATGCCCATGGCTTTCCAAGTCAAGAGCTGGTTTTAACTAGTTTGTTTCAGAAAAGCTTATGAAAGGTACACCATCTTACAAGACGGAAATCTGTAGAGGGCTGTGGGATTGTCAGTAGGAGGAGATAGCAGCTGGCATGAAGCATGTTTCTGGAGTAGACAAACCTTCGGTATATGATTGTTCTTCATGTAAAACATGTTTGATCTGTCAGTGGTCATCTTCCCATAGAGCTGAAAATGGGTTTTGAACTGGGAAAATTACAGTATCCTCTTTTTCTGAAAGATTTGTTTCCTTGTCAGTTGCAGTTTTCTACTGATGCAGTCTAAGTCATCCTCTCTGGTCCGTGCAGGAGCATTGGTACAGCAAGCGTGCACTTGTAAACTTGCTGTTCCCAGCAGTTGCCTCAGGGTTTCTTTGCAACCAAAAGGTGGAAATGGCAAGTTGACAGTCTGATTTGTAGCCAGGTTTTCAGTCTTTTCCTCTTTTAGGTTAGTTAAGCCCTAAGCTTGTGGGCCCCTTCCTCCACTGGGTCCCACTGAGCTGGGGTCTCTACCATATCTCTCAGTAGTTCTTGCTTTGAAAGGGTGATCTTATTACAAGGAATAGTGATGTTATTTGACAAGCCGTTATTATGCTCATTGAGTTATCTGTTCTCTTCCTTTCCAGCTTCAAGATCACTCCCAAAAAGTGCTAACAAATGTATTAGGAGCTCCTTAAAATTAGTTTAACATGAAGAAGCAAATATGCTCAATACTGTTACTGGTTTAATGCAGATCAAGATAATATTCTCACCTCATTCCCAAAGGGCTTGAAAGGAATAATGCAATTCTGTGCTGGCATCCACACAGATAAAAGGTTGTATAATTGCATTATATGGAAAGTACTGCAAGCTGCTCCTCTTTTCCCTTTCATTTAAAAACATTTTGAAGACACTAATGCTGGGGGGAAGGGGACTTGACATCTGAGCATTGGGAAATTTTTTCTTGGCCGTGTGCTCTTCCAGAGTGTGGAACTGTGGTTTTATTTTGGGGAGATGAAAAGCCAGAAGAACTGGATAAAGGCTTAGAAAGACCTGTCGGGGGCATAGAGTGGTTAATTTGCATTCCTGAAATTCTTGTGTTGTCTGGAAGGAATCAGTTGATAATTTCTTTCAGGCCGAGGTTTCTGTTGGGCAGGACGGGACTTGTTCAGATATAGGTGTTGCTGTTCAAACTGAGGTTAGAGAGTACATGATACATGAGAGAAGCCCAGCGGAATGATAACTGCAGCAGCCTTTGTCCATCTAATTTCAACCTACCCTCAGAAAACTTCTTGACACCATCAGCTAGCTGGTTACATGGTGGGGTCTTGTCTGGAGACCAGTTATCCATTCTGTTTTATCAAGTGCCAAGTCTGACAGTACCTCAGCAGAGAAAGTATTCGAACCACTCATTGAGATCTCTGTAGGTATAACATGTCCTTGAGCACAAATTCTCCTCTGGAGCTGAAGACACTTTGCTTACTTATTTGCATGTTTAGGTAGATAAAAAAACCTAAAGAAACACTAACTGCCAGATGTAGATAAAAAAAATAGTCTTCAAAAAGATAAAGAGGATTGGATTCAGCCTGCTGGTTATTCTCAGTCTTTGACTGCTCTTCAGCCTGGTACTCCCATTTTCATACTTGGGCATCTGCTAAACTTCTAAGTTAGAGCTCCACTTCCTGTTGCAACAGCAAAGTACAGGTTTTGTGGAGGTGGAGGGGGCATTATGATTTGTTTTTCTGGCTTTTTTTTTTCTTCTCTTCTGAGATTTCTTTTGCTACAACTATCTCTTTAACCTTGGTGTACATTGCCTCTGCTTAGAGAACAGCTTTAGGATCACAGCTCCTCAAAACAGATACCTTTTAGATTGTAATAGATGTCCCCTGGAGCTTGGAAATGGGAAATGAATTGGATTTTTCATGTCTTGGAACTGTTGACCCATGCTTTAGATCAATGCAGGCTTTGGCTGAGTCTTCCTCTTTTCTCTTTCTCACATTTAGTCTGTGTACAGCTAACTCAGCTCACTATTCGCATTTCTCTAGCTCTTTTTGGAGTGCAACACAGTACAGCCAGCTGTCTACCTTCTGTAAAAGGGAAAAAATATCATTCTTAAACTAGATGCATGTAATACAGTACTGTAACTAGTTATCATGAATGGGAAAGTGAACGAATCCCAGTTAGTGTAAATGTTCCTGCTTCTTGGTATCCTCACCTGCTGAGAAACATTTAACTTTCCTCAGTGATATGGCAAATTAAGTACTTAGCGTTTTTTCCCCCTCTGTATTTTGCATAAAGAAGCATAAAGTGCATTCATAGTGTCTGGTTAATGAGATACTACTCTGAGAGCACCTAGTGTGCTCTTCACTACTGAGTAGCCCACACATCTTGCCACAGATTTGAGGCTTGTGTGTCTAAAAGAAACAGGATTTCAGAGGATTCTTTGAAGGATTGTGCTGATAAGGAGACTGACATCCCGATCTTAAGCTGAAATATATCTCATTGTTTCAGCTTTTGACCCAGTAGTCTCTCGTACCTAACATGATGCCCTGAATTACAGGGGAGGTTGGTATCTTCAGTATTTTCTGTGGCAGGTTGACTGCTCAGTATAAACTTGAGGCTACTGGATTCCTCCTTAAATTAGCTTTCTACCAAAAAGCTGCCTTACTTTGTGTTAATTAGAATCAGTAAACATTAGCATACTTTTCATAAGGCACATGAAAAGACTGTTGCTGCAGTTGTGGTTAAAAATAACCCCAAACTTGCCAGATGACTCGTGACCAGGTACATTCTCATGCTGACGTAATCACGCTAGCGTGAACACCTTCATTTTCTTTAGCCTTGCGTACCAGAGAAGAAGAGGATTGCTCAGTGTAATGTTGCATGCAGATCCAGAGACCACCCCCTGTTCCTAAACACAGCGATTTCAAATAACTTTGAATGAAGCTTGCCAGATATCTAGTAGTAACCAACATAAAGGAAACCCTCGTATTGGTCAACCAGTTCAGCTTTTTGAATTGACATAGCCTAGGAGTTTCTAATCCCTCTGGTGATAGTGGTCTGCCTTCTAATTTTAGTCCCTTTCAGTTTGCAGTTACTTGGAAAGCACAATAAACCAGTGGAAAAAAAATCCGCATTTTAAAACAGTTTTTGAAGAACAGGGTAGGCATGAGTCATACCTGTCCCTGCAGGCTGCAGAATTGCTGTCGACAGTTAACTGGGAAGAAGTGTATTTAAACTTAGTTCTTGCCAATTTAAATCATTTTATTCAAAAGCATGAATGAGGTAGTAGTATTCCATTAAGACTGTTCTAATCAAATTTTAATGAGGAAATATATTTATACAAGCAGCAAATGAGCTGTTCCCAGTATTTTCTTTATAATCAAATATTCCTAAACGTTGTCTATGATTAAACAAGGGACAAAAATGAACATTTTCCAGTTTGTCCCAAGGGGGAATTCAGTGAAGAACTGGGACTGGATTTAAATAACTGCATAGAGGTTGAAATTTTGGTGGATAAGCAGATGATCTGGTCAGTGGCTTATAGCACATTTTGTTGGAGGTAGATAGTAAAATGGGGATTGTTCAGATCTGGCCAGTTTTCAAGGCACTAGTTTGTTCTGCTTATGGAATTAGACTAAAGGGAAGAGACCACACAATAGGCAAAGCTTGTGTTGAACGTTAAAGTACAAGGAACCTAATGGTAGTCTGCACTTCGATTTTTGCCAACTTTCTGCTTGGAAAACTACGACTTCTAAATACCAGACTGCAGACTGGTGCTCTTGTACTCCTCCCTCGCGCTTCCCTTTCCCACTTCATTCAGTCTCTCCCTGTCGCATCAGCAGGCCTATGATGTATAGCAGTATTCCTTTTTCCATTTCTGTGAGAAAGATTGGCATACATAAACTGGTTTGGCACTGATTGAATATTAGAGATGGAATATGATAATAAAAGGAAAGTGGGCAAAAAAACAACCCTAGAGATTTGTCAGAACATCACTGGCATCACTTTAGCAATGTTATAACATGCTTTAGCAGTTGCTTTCAGTGAAAGAGAAGGAATAGGAATTAGGACATATATTTGCACAGGCTTTATTGCAGCATCTTTAATCCCTCTTCTCATGTGCTAATGTCAAATAATAGTTTGGCATCTTTCTGGGGTATTAAAATAGTTTAAGTTATGTCCTTATACAGCCAACCACATTGGTGACTTGGACTATTCCTAGACATTCTTTCATTTTTTTGCTAAAGCAGTAACATTAGATGGGCTACGCTTCCTTCAGTAATTGGATTTCTGAAATACTAAGAGTCTCCATAACGGTACAGACTTTAGAACCATGGTTGCCATCTAATTTTGTGGTTACAAGTGAATTGAACAGCAAGCCAAAAATTTCTGAAATCTCTAATTCACTCCATCCTGTCTATAAATAATGAAATTATGAGTTTCAAAAGCCAGGAATTTAGATAACTGACTTGCTCTTTATCCCACAGCAAATGGATTGGCTTAAGGAGCACATCAGTTGCCTCACACTGAACTGGCAAGTTGACAGAAGTTTTGCAGAAATGGTTATAATACGTGATGACTGAGGTTATGTCAAGGTTGCACTATGCAGGTTTCCTTGAGGGTAGAAATGGGTTTTTTTGACTTGTAATCTTTTAATTCAATTATAAATATTACACTTTGATAAAAGGAGCATAAGATTTTACTGAATAAAATGCTTTCCAAAAAGAAGCTTAGACACAGCAGTGGATATGTATGGCCATTTCCTTTTTTACTAGTGTTTAGGTTTCATACAGGTAGCACTGTGTTTGAAAATCTCTCTGACACACTATGAAATGTGCCACCTTATTTCATACTTTTTTGCATTCGAGGGGAGATCTCTGTTAGAAATGTCTGTTCTGGGCTTGAATGTATTAGAGGTATTTATCCCTAATCTTACCTAAATGATGCTATATTCAGTGTGAAAAAATGGATTTGCAATTTGGATGAGGGACTACTTACCCTAAATTATGCAGTGCTGTGTTTCTCGTAGAGGCAGGCAAGCTGTTGTATGGTTTCTAGGCTGGAAGCACCTGTTCAGGGAAGAGTTTTGTTTAGATGGGGCAGGTTTACTGACCTGCTTGCTCTGCCTATAGCCCCTTTTGACATGAAATTGCACAGCATAAGGTTAATGACAGTGGGTTAGCAAGGCTTCAAAGCATCCGGCATGACCCTGGCATGCCTAGCATTCCTTTCTGCTGTGCAAAGGTTTGGCATCAATTCCCGTGTGGCGGAAAGAATGTTTTCAGGAGAAACCAGCTCATGCGGCTCTCCCAGGCCTCTGGAGAGGGTAGAGTTGTCATGGCAGTAAGTCATGAGGATTTGTGGAACATGAGTAAATCCCCTTCTTTGTGCTCTACTCTAGGCATGGGTTGTGGTGAGAAAAGGAAGCTGGATCAAGCAGGTATAATGTGTCATTGTCCCCTTTATAACCACTGCTGTCACTTACCAGTAGGGCAGTGTGTGTGTCATGGAAAAATGACTACTTGTGTGTACCAGAAACACTTGGGGCAGTGAAGAATGTGTCCCACCAGGTGCTGAGCAGACTGACCTGCATTGGAGCACGCTGTAGCCAAAGGCAATGTTGGCAGAGCTGCATCTTCCCCATATTGGCTGCTTCCAGCTGCGCTGCAGATGTGGCCTGGTGTGGGAGGAGAAAAGCTAAACATTCTCTACGTCCTGCAGTCCAGACACATGCCCCTCCCCCCCGCTGATGCTTGGACATAGTATAGAAAATGGCTTCCCCTGTATTCAAGGGAAGGAGAAAACATGGAAGAGGATGGAGAAGGAAAGGTGGGACAGTAAGTCTTGTTAGACTGAGATGCCGTGGAGAGGACAGGAGGGAGGAAACTAAATGGAGAATTGCTGGGCCAGGAGATTGATACAGGGAGCAGGGGCCAGAGGAGTGGAGGACCCTGCAGCTGGTGATTACAGAGAAGTGAGGAATAAGGAAGTGATGGGGGGAGCCCAGGAGATTGATGCACATTCAACAGAACATCCTGTTTCATTTTCTAGTGCTGTTGCACCAAGGATGGCATCCTGCTGTATTCCTCACCACTGGTTACCTGCAGCAGCGGGGGTTTAGGCTGTAGCATGCCACTGGCATGCTGAACAGGGAGTCACTGTGTTGCCAGATGATGGAGAGGGGGTTGGAACTAAATTCCCTTGACATTATAAAATTCTGCCAGGATGCCATGCCTAAAATGTTCACAGGTTTGCCTTTGCAAACTTGATGCATGTGCACAAACGGGTAAAGATGTATCTTAAATGACAACCTCAGACACTCTTTTTCCCACAGAATCTGTCTCTTATTTAGTATGCACCATGCACAGGGCTGTCTTAGTAAGCAGCTTTTCAGGAGCAAAAGCATCTTACACCTGTCATTTCAAACTCCTTTGAATGCTTGGGTTTGTAACCTTTAATACTCTCCTTAGGTAACGCAGGTGGGGAAAGAGATTTGACATTTTTAATAGGTTTTTTTCTTCATATTGTTCCTAATTCCTTCTGGTATAGTCTATAATTCCAGGAATTCTTCTGTCTGTAGCCTAAAGGCTCACCACTAACCCCCTTATCATTCTCATATACCACAAGTGAGGGACAACAGCTATTTTGTAAATAGATTTCTGTAGACTATGCCAGATAAGTAAGCACTTCTCTTGGCAATCAAAATTAAACTGTCTCCAAAGAAAGTAAAAATGGAAAACTTGACAGAAAACAGGCAGTAGGTACCAGTGCTCTATTTGTATTCAGTGCGAAGGATGGATGTTTTAGAAAGCCTTCCAAGTCCAAATAGACTTTTCTTTTTCTGTACAAAGGTGATTTCCCAACGTGCTTATATTTAAGTGAAAACAGTTTGACCACTGGTGTTCAAAGGCAGAAATGCACGCTTCACCAATTTGGAAACATTCATGTCAATATAAACGAAACCAACTCAGCTTTATGGTTGAAATACTGTAAAAAAGAACTGATCCCTATTAGGCTTGGGTTTGGTTTTGTTTCTTTTTTTTTTTGATGTTGTGGTCAATAACCGTTGGTCAGAAGGGCTTGTGCTTTGTGCTGCTATGGCAGGATTTAATGAGAGTCTCAAGTGCCTGGTTTTCTGACTTTATGGACTATATCACAAGCAGGATCTGTGAAGTTACTATAATAGGAATATAAGATAAAATTACTAAAAATGGAGCCTGGGGTGGTATTTTAGAAAGCAACATGTAAGCACCTAAAGAGTAAGGTGTGGACTGCTATCTTTGTATTGTCCCACACTGAATACTCTGTGCCCAAGTGGCATTTGGCTGCTGGTGCAGCAGCCCCTGCTCTTGGCTTCAGTGGCGTGTAAGGATATCCAGAAGAGCTGACCAAGGGAGGAACCCGGCTGGGATGCATGGTGCCACCTGCCTCCACAGAGCATGGGTGGGTGCCAGCAGGTTGGAGGAGCTGTTCATGGGGCAGGGTGACACTAGGCTGGCTGGCCACAGCCACCTGCACAGCATCACTTGGGCTTGTGCAGGATGCAGCATGCAAGGTCATCTCTTCAGGGAAACTTGGGAAGGTGCTTTGGTGTCTGAAGCAACTGCTGCTGTGTCTCAGAAGCACAGCCCTGTTCAATGTGAACTTGAGTGATTAGCACAGCCATTACTGCATCTATAAATAGAATTCATCTTACAATATATTAAGTTTAATGATATAATAAATAGATTACAGTTAACTTTAATGGGAGCACAATGAATGGAGATGCAGTCCTTATGAAGATCTGCTGCCATTAGTGAGTGTTTTGCAAGATGCATTATATGTAATACCACTGTCTTCCTTTGAAAAATGAATAATCTAACAATACTGAGGAGAAACAAAACAAAATGCAACTCGTAATGTTCCTGTTGCATAGAAAATGGTCAAGTACATGAAAGTGCGGGTTGCATTAGCAACCTTAACTCTGCTCCTTATGAATTTGCATTATGAAAAATGTTTATTATATGATAACATTGCTAGTTTTAAAACAAACCATACAGGATTTCTCTGTAGGAAGTTTGCATGTGGTTACTGTCACAGGGAATTAAAAGCAACGTGAAGCCTAGCTCCACTAATATTTTTATTTTCAATTTTCTTTAACAAGGAAAAAAAATGCTTTGGGAAGAAAATATTTTTGATTGTGTTTAGGTTGTTTTTTTTTTTCAGTGAAATAATATACAGTTCTAATGAGACAAGCTCCCTGGAGTTTAAACATGACATGTTTAAGGGAGGTTGACATTATACCCCCTGCCTGTGGTTCACCTTGTTGTGCTTGTTTTATGGTAAAACTTCAATATTTGAGCATCCATTTCCATTTGACAGAGACTTAAGTATGTTTGTCAATGCAAATAAGTCTCTCTGTGGTAGTAGTACAGCCCCGAAGGCTGGGAGGACAAAGCCTAAACCCCACTTCCTTGCCATTTCAACTGAGGCTGTAGTTTGGCAAGCAGTCAAGGTAGCTCTTCTGGGGGCTTGAGGAGGTTAAAAAGGCAAGCAGGCTGTACCTCTTGCTATGCCGGCATGGACATCTACATGGCTCTTCAGTGGGTGAGATGGGGAATCTGAAGTAGCTGACAAATAGCCTGGTGAAAAAGTCCATTGCCAGCCCTGGTTGACCACACGGCCATACAGTGAAGGCTGTGGTGGCACACCTGAGAAGGTGACATAGTCATAGAAATGAATGGCCAAGGGCAGCCACAGGTGCAGGGACTGTCTATTCCGTGCCCCCCACCCTGTAGTTGTGCTGACTTAAATGCACATCAAACTGTAGTGGAGAGAATGATGCCTCTAGGTGTAAATAATAGGCTTATGCTCTCTGCATGGGACGCTAAGGTCACAGCTCTTCATACCTCTTTCTCAGTGGTGTAGCTGGCCCAGGAAGTTGGTGCCCTGCCTGTGAATTGCTCATTTGCTTCTGGCTCAGTTGTTTGTGATGGCATGGTGGAAAATTAAACCACTAACTGGTTCTAAAAAAAAATAACCCAAAGGGAAAAACTTAAAACCATTTCTCCTCACCTCACTTAATGAATCTGGCTCACAGAGCATTTCTATGGAAGTTTGTTCCTGTAGAAATAAGGGCAAGAGCCATTCAGGGCTGGGAATGAGCAGGTGAGACTGGGACATCTTTAAGCTGGTGTTGCCACCAAGAAACTGTGTGGAACTGTCCTCATCATATAAACGGGTCTGTGACAGCTTTGGCTGTACTTCAAAATAGCCTACGCATCAAAGCATATGTTGCAAGTTCTGTGCCCAACTACAGGCAACCAACAAACAGGACAGGAAGTATGACCTTCAGAGGGGAGTTCTGCTCTGCAGGAGACATGGTGATGCCATATTATATTAAGCCTGTCTTTGCAATCTCCCTGCTCTTAAAACAATTTGAAGCTTATTCTTAATATCGAGTGCTGAAGTCTGTAACATACACTTCATGTATAAATCCTTTTCAAACCAATTTTTGCAGCCATTAGCTAGCACACTTTTAATATATTTTAAAACTTAATTTTTTTTTAAAGGAAGTTGTTTAATGTAAATCTCTGCTGCAGATATATAACTTTAAAAACAGTGTTTGTAATCAGATTTCATACTATTCTAATAAAATCAGGCTTTATTAAGAAATATTAATCTGATTTTTCAGTTGCTATCTATGCCATCACCTTCCTTGCAAAAGCAAATCTTAGGGGTATTTAGAATATTGTTTAACTACATTACCTTACTTTGCATGGAAATAATAGTAATGTGCGGTAAATTCCAGTTTGAAAGCAGTCTTCAAATGCTTTGCCAAGAAGCATTATGCAATTAATAAAACAATGCAGTAATACCTATCATGCTTTGTAGCACTTATTCTCCACTCAGGTAAGCTTTAGAAGACTTATTCCAATTTATTGTAGTGCCAGTGTGTCCTTCCTTCCATAATAGTTCCTGTGGCTTTCCCTGCTGCATCTCAAACCTTAAGTTTATCAATACTGCAAAAATGTGTCACTGATCAGGAAGTTGCTGATCAGTGTACACTGTAATGTGCAGGATTGTGTTTGACTTGTACTGCACAAGATCATAAGCCTGTATTTCTTTCTGTAACAATGTTGAGGGAAACATGCTGGAGTGGTCCTTTGTAAGCCTGCTGCAGGCATTGTAAGCCAATTCAGTAGAAATTCCTCCATCTAAACTGCTTCCAAAGAGTAGATCTTCCTTCATATGCAGAACATAGCAGCTGATGGTCACAAACTGGTGCACTTAAATTCATTTCTTCCAATCTGTTCTGTTACATCAGTACTAATTCTATGTTCTGCACAAACACAGTTACACCGGTGTGATAAAATAGCCTTAACGTCAGTGCCTAGCCCAAGCTGAACCAGGGGAAACCATGAGAACATGATATTTCTAAGATCCCAGTGGGTCACTGATTTCATTTTATCATCCATTCAGAAAGAAAGAGAAAGATCTGACAATAATAGTGGTTCCCTTTTGTAGCAGAAAGGCCTGCCCTGCATTACTCTGGAACATGTTTAGCACTTGCTATCGTACGGCGTTTTTTTCTCCTCTTCTAAGACTTTCTATACAAGTTAGGCTGTAGCATCTGCCTTTCTCATCGACTGAATGAGGAACTTAGGCTTTTAAATGTAGGTGTGCTAAGCTAAGCTGTAGTTAAATGTCTAAAGCAGATGGCAGAAGTACCTCTCTGTGGGCCCAGATTCTTGCTTGAATGGAAGCATTTGGCAAATTAAATGGCGTATGTGGTTGGATGAAGAGGTCAAATGTAGAAGACAAAGCGCTGGCTGCTGCAGCTGCCCAAACTAGATTACCAAGCAGAAGGGAAGTGTTCAAAACCTAAGTGGGTCTAATTTTCAGAAAGGGAAACAGAAGTGTGACTATCCTTCTCTGGTCATCTTCACCCTCTCCAGGGTAAGGCTTGCACAGCTAAGGATTTGGCCCCACTTGATTACAATGTTTGGTTTCCCTGGTGGGAAAAAATGCAATCCTATTAGACAACACACAAAAATCCCTCTGAAATGTTTCTAAAGGAGTCAGTCTGCTAAACGTCTGCTAAATGTGCAGAGTACACAGAATCCCTTCTGGCACTGTCGTGAATGATGCATTTACCAATATTAATGGAGATACCAAACCATATTGCTCCACAGTTCCTCCTGCACACATTATGCTCCTAACACACATATGTGTATGTGAAATGCCAAATATGGTTTTTTGCATTCTATGGTTTAACCACCAGTGTACTTCCAGAATGCTGACTGGCCATTACCACGGCCAGACCATCCTGTGGTCTCTCAACTCAAAAAATGTTTCTCCAACTAAAAAAAAACCAAGAAAAATGTTGTTTTTTTGGTCTGCTGCACTGTAATCTCTGTTCTTCTGGGGATTATACAGCTCTGCGGGTGATTTCTGTAATTCATTCTAGTCTTTCATTAGAAGTAATAGACGGTCTTAATTACAGCAGGCCACATGACAAACTGGTAAAGGTGCTAGAAATGGTGCCAACAGGATAAGAATTGGATGGTGTGAATTTTTTTTAATTAAGAGCTGGCAGAACTGTCGGGAAATAGGATTGGACTCCTGTCCACTGGAAAGTGTGTCATTTTGGTGCAGGCGTTTTTGTAAATGTCACGCATTTTATGCTGGTTATGGTTTGAGAAACTTGAAAAATCATCTTCAGCTTAAACAAAATAAAACCAACCTTTGAAGTTGAATGTATCAAATAGGGAAAGAAATACAGCAACTTTTGATATTTTTTTTTTCTTTCTCTTGACATGGTGTTATCAACTGTAGCCTTCCTCAGTGTACCTTGATTTACTTCATACCATTAAGTATTCTTAAACCATACTAAGTTACTGCAATAAGGATTGTTGCAAATGTCAGTAGTGATGTAAATGATCATCTCTGCTACTTGCTGTGAGGACCTCAAAAGCATCTGAGGGGTTGGGGTCTTATTCCCCCACCATTGTATTTTCCTGGAAGGCACAGGGTAAAGGTTCTCAGTCTTCCCACGTTCATCAGTTCCCCGCTACTTAAGTCATTTCTTACAGTTGAGTGTTTGGTGTATTCATGACACAACTTGTCTGAGGACAGAGAAGTCCTGAAAATGAAAGGAGAAAGAGAGAAAGCCCTTTCTAGACAGTAACAGTAACCTAACAGTAGGTGCCCTCAGCCTCTACTGGAGCAGGTTCCACTCCATCAACTGTGGAGGGCCCAAGCTGTGGTTAGGCATTCTGGGGAAGAGCAGACACCCAACTAGAGTGGTCTTGCAACTACCCAGATACTACCAAACTTAGTTTGAGGTAGAGGGGATGCTTCTTTGTAGAGAATCAAAAGTGGTACCACGATAGAGGAAAAATACTAAGTGAGAGCCATATCTGTATCCGTATGGAATGTTTGTCTCTTGCTGTGAGAAAGGCAGACTGCTAGATAAAAGATGGTCACCATTCAAATGTCAAAATCTGTCTGTGGTATCTGTTTCTAAAATAAGGTAAACCCCAAAACCTTTTGTGCCAAATAAGCACCTGATATACCAAGTTTTCTCCTAGTAGCTAATGATTGTTTGGGTTACTACATGGGTCCTGACTGAGGCAAAGAGATTAACAGTTAAGTCAGTGTTTTTCTACCATGAGAGAATATCTGCCAATCATTATCAAAAGAGAAGGGATCGGCAACAGTAGTACTCTGAAAGAGAGGAAAACAGTAATTTCTAATTATTATTCAACTCATTGACTGCTTACACCAAAGCACATTTTGTTCAAAAGCTAAATCTCTCTATGCTGTCAGGTTCCACTTGCCTTTTGGCTGGGGAGAGGATGATCCCTGAGGATTTCCTGCCAGTGCCCACTGTGGTGCTGGAGGAAGGGTGTTACCTCTCTGCACTGAGTGCATTCACAGACTGGTGAAGGGGCAGAGAGAACTGTGAACATTACATTGCATTATGCATGCATGTGTATGAAGTATTTTGAAATCCCCCCAGCAGTAATGTTCAATTCTTTCTGATGATTTGCGTATTAATTTCCTTCCTGTGATTATTTAATGTGTATATGCAGCCCATGTAGGTTTTTTCCTTCCCTTTTGCATGTGATGCGTTAGCAAAGGAAGACAGTAATAGTCTCCAGGGATGTGCAAGCTCTGTTCATATCTGAGGTATGAAGTCAACCCAAGACCATTTTGTTCTCATAAAATATACAGCACTGCAGTTTAATGGGTAATGGCATAAATGCCAAGATTTGACGGGCAGAACCATTTTCACTGGGAGACAAGAGAGACTATGAGCACTCAGTGTTGGAGGGAGATCTGTAAAACCATATTTAAGCAGATCTTGTGTGCTATGGGGGTGGTGATTTTGCTTTACCTGAGTGTGGTAACACGGGGCATGCTTAGCTATTATAAAGTAATAATACATATGAGTTGAGCTTTTTAAGTACAAATGGGAAGCTGACAGGTTTTACACAAAGTAATTCCACTCCTTTAGATGTGTGTTCTTTTTCCTACTTTTGTTGTAATGCTCTAGGTGATAAAGATGGTTTCCCCTCAGGTTGACAGGAACTGACTACGTGTTTGCTTCTGCTGAGCACATCGGTGGGGAAAATCAGTGGGGAACGTGGCACCTCCACATCATGTGCTGAGTATGGGTATGCTCTGCGCCTCACTTGGGCTTAAAGGCTCAAAACTTTGTCGAAGGGAAAAAGAAATACAAAACGAGGAAATTTGCAGAAACTGGAGTCCCCTTGAGTTAAAAAAAAACCAAACAAACTGTCAGGCTGCTGTGCTGATTGCAGGTATCTGTCTGAGAGCCCAACCATATGTCAGGAACCAGAGTGCCCTTGAATCAAACCGTAAGGGTGAATTGAACGGATTAGTTGATGCGCACAGAGTAGGAGACCGAAAAAGGACCGTTCCTTTAGCAAGTAATTACCCGAGGCTTTCCTTATGCTTGCACCGAAGCACAGGTGAGAACCCTTCACGGGATTTGAAGACCCGAGCTAAAATGGCTTGGTGTCGCCGGTGGGTTGGCTTTAACGGAGAGGGGAGCCAGTGTGCGCGCAGCCGGCTCCAGGTGCGCGGGGAGAGGAGGGGAAGGGAAGGGGAGGGAAGGCAGGCACCCTGCCTGCCTCCCTGCCTGGGAAACCCGAGGGGAACCCGCTCCACCGCCGCTTTGCTGTGCCTTTAGTCTTTTAATGCGTATTATATAATTGTTGGACTCTGCGGTCCTCCAGCTCCGTTTATGCCATTGTCTAGCCAACAGAGGGTATTTCGGCATCTCCCCCCCTACACACACCCTCCCCTGGTGAAACTGTTACTTCAAATTATTCTAACATGAACCGCACTTTTGAAGGACTGATTTGCGTCCGTCCACGGAACGCATTCACGTACGAGTCCAGCCAGGCACGCTGAGGGCGATGGTATAATTATAATTAGTGGAAATGAGCTTGTTTTGCTCCCGCTTGGAAAAGCGTGAAGCGTGTGCGGCACCGGGGGAATAGCGCGAGGGGTAGGGGCAGGTCCCGATCTCCGACAGGGAAAAAAAACCGGGGGGGGGGGATAAAGGGAGGGAAGGGTAACCCCAACTCACTGAGCGCTATTTTTATTTCCCCCCCCCCCCGCATCCTCACCAACCCGTTCCCCGGGGTGGGGCGGCAGCAGCCGCCGCCGGGGCCCGCGGCTCCCTCCCGGCCGCGCAGCCCGCAGTGCCGCGCCGCCGCTGCGGAGGGAGGCGGGAGGGGAGGGAAGGAGGGACGGACGGGGGGCGGGAGGAGGGAGGGGGGCGGGCAGCGAGGGAGGGAGGGAGGACGGGCGGGCAGGGGGAGCCGGGCTCCGCACGGCGCAGGCAGGGCAGGGCCGAGCAGAGCCGGGCCGAGCCGCGCCGCGCCGCGCCGCGCCGCCGCCGCCCGCCGTGCCCGAGCATGTCGGCGCGGGAGGCGGTGACCTACCTGCCGGAGAAGGGGCTGTACTGCCAGCGCCTGCCCGGCCGCCGGGCCCGCGGTGCACCGCAGCCGCGCAAGGGGAAGCGCGCCGACACCATGGGCTTCTACGGCACCCTCAAGATGATCTTCTACAAAGTGAGTGGCTGCCCGCCCATCCGCCCCGGCTCCGCGCCCGCGGAAGCAGGGAAGCAGACAGGGAGGGAGAGAGAGGCGGGGGCTGCGGGGGGCGCGCATCTCCCGCGGTGCCACTCCGCGCCGGCGGAGACGTGCGGCAGGCGCGGGGCTGAGGCTGCGGTGTGCGGCCGGGGAGAGCTGCCAGCGCTCGGCGGCGGGTGGCGATGCGGAATACGGAATACAGTTCGCTGCCCCTCTCAGTATTTTTTTGATATGCTGCAGTCTCGCTTATTTGGATAAATAAACGCTGTCTGAAGGAGCGGTGTTTCCCAGAGACAGATTAAATAGTGACGGGGGTGTTTGCTCGGCGGTTTCTGTTTTTCGGTTCCGCAGACACCCGAGCAATGTCTAAATCTTGTCACCAGACATCTCTGCTGTAGAGAAAGTTTTATCTTCTTCGTGTGGTAAACGGCATTTTTGACAGTGTATTTACTTAGCACGGTCTGAGATGCTGGAAGTCTGGCGGTGCAGTGGATCTCATGAGAAAGTTCCCTGAAATACCTGAAAAAAACCCCAAACCAACTGAAAAGGTGAAATCATTGTTAGGCAGTAGAATAGGAAACTGCATATTGTTTATTCTGCTACCGCACAAGAGTAAATCCCTACAGCTGCTCACTCTGCTTGCTGCAGGCTTCGTACTTCTTATTTTAAGGTGTGCTTTTGGGAAACCGCATCTCCCTCTTGTGAGAAGCAGAACAGGGATATGATGAGGATAACCTCTCAGGAAGGCAGGCTGGAAATAAGTATTTCCATTGAACAAGAAAAATCCTCTCTGAGAAGTCTATCACGAAATCTGAAATTAATGCTCACACATCATATTTATGCTCCCAGTAATTTTGGTGGCTCACTTGCTTAGCCCAGCGATGAAAGATGATATCCAATTATTTTTCAGGGATGCTCACATCTGGTTTTCCTGGGGAAGCACCGGGAGCTGATCTTCATGGGGCGTGGGAAGCTGGGAGGGTGAGGTTGGTGGTGGTTCAGCAGCGCTCAGGGCGGTTCTGGCTGAATGCTGCTCCGGTGAAATGCTGTGGAGTGTCCCATGCGAGGCATGGGCAAGCCCACACAGCCGCAAGGCAAGCTCCTCTGGCTGCCTTGTAGCTGCTACGGTAAAAATGAGACCAGTTACTCGTAGTTAGCTTTCCTTTGTAATCGGTAATGAGGCGAAACACGAGATCTTCAGTGTCTGTTTCTCGGCAAAACCATAAAGGGGTTTTAAAAGTAAAAGAAAAGAATCACAACAGAAGTATATGGACCATGAGCTTTAGCTAATCCTGTTGGGGTTTTGGTGGTTTGTTTTTAGGTAGGTAGGTTGGTACAGTAAATGGTTAAAGAGCTATGGTATAACAGAGCATTAAAAAAGATCAAATCAAATGCCAACTTTTAAACTGTGTCTTAAAGATGAGATTTCGGAAAAGGAGCAAACGGTCAAACTAAAGTCTGAATTGTCATACGAGTGCTTCATGTATTCTGCAGCTCACAGTTGTAAACAGCAGCAGGCATTCTTCTCCTGGCTGAAGTGTTTTGTCGTATCACACATCTTAAAAAAAGAAAACCAACAAACCCTCAGGAATCGCATTTGGCACACGTATGTCTCGCCGAGTCCAAGAGCCTGTGGTTAAAGATTACCCAAATATGTAGAAAGTAATCTTTATGTGTCTGACTGGATAAATGCGGCTTTCACTGCTCTCCGTCTCTTCGGTAATTTTTGCAGACTGGCTTTCCCTTTTAGCAGCTGCCCTGCTCATTATTTCGGTTTGATCAGATCTAATTGCGGGTGACATTCAGGACCGAGGCGCAGGGGGTTTCATTCTTACCCTTCTTGTAGAAATGTGGGTTAATCCATCAGGCAGGTTTAGAAATGTTTTGAAGATACAACTTTAAGAGAGACAAGAGAAAAAAATGGATTTGATTTTTTTTGTTTGTTTGTTTCAGGCCCCAAAATGAATATTTGGTTTATAATGCAGACAGGCTGCCTAAAATTTAACCATTTCCATGAGAGACTTAGCGATGAACATGAACACAATGGAGAGGTTTGGTTTAGTTCTTTCCATCCCTTCCCAGGAGAACAGAGAGAGAACAGCTTAGTAAATAAACCAACGCAGAGTTCTGCACACTTTCTCACATTTGAAATTTGGATATAAATGTAATTCCAATAGATTTTGGACACTAAACCAGCAATAACATATACATGCACTATATAGAAGATGTATCAAATACTGTTGAAGTTAGGAACTACAATGTTGCTTTAAATCATCTTCTGAGTGTCAACTTTGTTGAAATTCAATATTGAAGTAAAAGGTAAAAATGGATTAATTTTACAGAAGTACTTGTAAGTAAAGCTGGTCATGTCACTAAATCTGTGTTGTTACTCTTTTCCTTCACCTTACAGATGAAGAGAAAGTTGGACCATGGCTCCGAGGTCCGTTCTTTCTCTCTGGGAAAGAAACCCTGCAAAGTCTCAGAATACACAAGGTAATTAAATGCAACATGAGATCGCCGGATCCTGATTCTTGCGTATATCCTGTCTTTCCAATTGCTAAGCCTGATTCATGGCTCTCTTAATGTTAAAGCACTGTACAGCAAAGAAGTGGTGGTATCAGCATTCGTATATTGCTTAGTTAATTTAAATGACATGAACTGAAGATGAGTTTTAATGAAGTAGCCAGACTTGCATTTCTTCAGTTGAGGTTTGTGTTTCATTCTAAATATAGCATACCCATTTACTCAGAGACTTTTTTGAGGGCTGAAGCATTCCTGGGAATAAAATCAATCAGATTTTTAAAAAGGCACATAATGATAAACCCTTAGACTATTACAAACTGTGATCAAATGTATCACTTTGCTATGGTAACGGGAATGAGAGAATGGAAATTTATGTAGGCAGAGCAGACCATCTGATCTTAACAGGAACACACACGTACTTTTTATCCACAGTATTAAAGCATTAGGGGTTCTAGTTTGCTTCCTTACTACTCCTGAATGGTACCAGATCACACAAACAACTGCTGCTGTTCCGGTCAGATGCACTGTGGGGTAAAGCATTTCTAAACGTGAGCAGCAGTGGTAGAACAGGGCCCTGGGTGCGCACCTTAAAACTGCAGTTCTGACTGTAGAGTTGCCATAACAATCGTGCTCGGGTGTGACGCTGCTTCCCAGCCTGTTTGAGTTCACACCATCTTACGTTTTTAACCTGTAAGAAGCATCAGACCTCCCACAAGCATTACACATGCATCCCCAAACTGTCTGGGGATGTTACTTCTTCTGAACATGCAGTAGTAGTGCTCAGTCACTGATGGCTCTTCAAAAGTAGTTTGTATTTTATTTCTCTTCCTTTAAGAGGTTTATCAGGTGATGAGTGAAAAGTTAGGACTGTGGGGAAACAGGTTCCAGGGTTGCTTTTCAGATATGTAAATGCTTCAGCAGAGGAAAAGAGGCAATGCCTTGTTGCTGAGAAGCACATGTTGCAGCTCCCACATCCCCCTCGAAGTTGGTAGCTTCTCTGAGTTTCTAAATCAGTCTAATGGAAGAATGCTCTTGTGGCCACCAGTTCTTCAGGTGACAGATCATTCTCTGCACTCCCACAGGAATACACAGTTCAGCAACAAAGGAAGCGTGTGTTTTGTCAAGTGTATCTGTCAGATTCAGAGGAACCACTGGACTTGTCCAGCTTCTACAGAAACTTGGGTGACTGTTTCAGGGGCATGAAAACATACAGAAAAAATGAAGCACAAACAGAAAATCTTGTGGTTTAATCTCAGGTCAAAGGAAAGGGGCTTTTAGATCCTGGTTCTGACTGAGAACAGCAGAAATGGAAGCGTAACTGTTCTGCTGGGGCAGGCTTAAGGCTACATACTGCTCTGATCCGATATAAGTCAATTTTAAGAGCCTTATTTTGGACCTTAAGTGATAGCACCTTCACAAAGATACAGCATCTCTGTACAGATGCTGAGAATGAGTAAGCTGGAAACCCAGTTTTTATTTTAAGAATACTTTCAAATTAATGTGGTTTGGATTTTGAGCCATTATTAGCATAAAAGACTCTTTAAATAACATCCAATCCTCTCTCTTTTAGACTGTTTGGTTATGTTTTATTTAAATGGCATTTAGGCAAACAATGCAGTTCGTGTACCTGCTTGTTTTCCATATTCCCTAAGATCAGACACTCTTTAAAAGTGGCAAGCCTGATGAACTTTCTTTGCACGTAAGAGGGATAGCCGGTAAACAAATGTCATTGAGAGGATCCTTCATCTGTGAAACAGTATTTTTATATCAGCTTCTGTTTCTGTTATTACTCAGTAAAATCAGCAGCTAAAAATAAGCCTGTTCAAACCAATCTTTACCACTTTGGGTAAAGGCTAGGACATGCTGTGATTGTCCTTCAGAACAAGGAAGAGTAGAGTGCAATATTCGTAGAGTATGTTGAGATAAATATTAAAATGAACTTGCCTTGCATCGTTTGAAGCTATTTCTGTAGCCACTGAGAAGTCAGTAAACCCCTGAAGCTCACATCTACTTAAAAGCTGGATTTATCGTACACAAAAGCAAAAGGTTTTTTGGAGTCCCACATTGTATTTAAAATTTTCATGCTTGTGCAAACGCCACTGGAGTTCCCCATCTCCTGCGAGGGAGCACAACTTTGATAGGCTGTGAATGGAGTGCTTTACGTTATGTAAAAAAAATAGAAAACCCAGTCAGCTGTAGTTCTTTAGGCTCCTGCAACAGCAGCTTAATCGCAGCTCTTCTGAAAGCTCCATCCCATCTGAATGAGCTGGTTTTTAACATGTCAGAGTGAAAACATCAGACTGTAATTCAGAAAGCACCTTTGGCTCCTTTTCCTTTTTCACCTCCCCCCCCCCCCCCTTTATTCCTGTATCAGTACATCAACAGGCAAACTTTAAAAGACTGCATAGAGTATTTCAAAGCCCAGTTCCAAACCCCTCG